ACTGCTTGGAGTTCATTGAGCTTCTTGGATGCATAGATCCATGTTTTGCATCAAATTTGGGGAGTTTGGGGCCATTATTTCTTCAAGTATCCTTTTTGTCTTTTTCTTTCCCTCCTCCTGTTCTGGAATCCCATTGCACATATGTATGTATGCTTGATTGTGTCACACATGTCTCTGAGGCTCTGTTCATTTTTCTTCATTCTTTTTTCTTTCTGTTCCTCAACTGAATAATCTCAATTGACTCATCTTCAAGTTCACTGATTCTTTCTCCTGCCAGCTAAAATCAGTTGCTGGGCCACTCTACCGAATTTTCCATTTCAATTTTTGTACACTTCAACTCCAGAATTTCTATTTGCTTCCTTTTTTTATATATAAATTTATTTATTTTACTTATTTATTTTTGGCTGTGTTGGGTCTTCATTGCTGCACGCGGGCTTTCTCCAGTTACCGTGAGCAGCGGCCACTCTTTGTTGTGGTGCGCGGGCTTCTCATTGCAGTGGCTTCTCATTGCTGTGGCTTCTCTTGTTGCAGAGCACGGGCTCTAGGTGCATGGGCTTCAGTAGTTGTGGCGCACGGGCTTAGTTGCTCCGTGGCATGTGGGATCTTCCCAGACCAGGGCTTGAACCCGTGTCCCCTGGATTGGCAGGTGGATTCTTAACCACTGTGCCACCAGGGAAGTCCTCTATTTGATTCCTTTTAAAAACTCATTTCTGTCTCTGTTAATCTTTTCTATTTGATGAAACATCATTCTCATACTTTTCTTTAGTTCTTTAGAGAGTCTCCTTTAATTCTTTGACCATATATATAATACCTAATTTAAAGTATTTGTCTAGTAAATCCAACATCTGGGTTTTCTCAAGGACAGTTTCTATTGACTGATGGTGTTTTTCCTGTACACTGGCCACACTTTTTTTGTTTCTTTGCATTTTGTTTCTTTGTAATTTTTTTGTTGAAAACTGGACATTTACAAAATATAATGTGGTAACTTTGAAAATCAGATCTCCCTTCCCCCTATTCTCCGGGGTTTTCTGTGTTGCTGGTTGTGCTTGTTGCTGCTGCTGTTTGCTTGTTCAGTGACTCTCTGGAACTAATTCCACACAGTCTTTGTTGTGTGCAGCCACCGAAGCCCCTGCTTGCTTAGGCTAGTGTTTGGGATGAGAATTTTCTCTTTTTCAAAAGGGAAACCTGGGGGCTTCCCTGGTGGCGCAGTGGTTGAGAATCTGCCTGCTAATGCAGGAGACACAGGTTCGAGCCCCGGTCTGGGAGGATCCCACATGCCGCGGAGCAACTAGGCCAGTGAGCCACAACTACTGAGCCTGCGCGTCTGGAGCCTGTGCTCCGCAACGGGAGAGGCCGCGACAGTGAGAGGCCTGCGCACCGCGATGAAGAGTGGCCCCCGCTCGCCGCAACTAGAGAAAGCCCTCGCACAGAAACGAAGACCGAACACAGCCAAAAATAAATAAATTAATTAATAAACTCCTACCCTCAACATCATCTTTTTTTTTTTTTTTTAAAAAGGGAAACCTGGCTTTTTAAAGTTGAGCAATATTCTGCCATTATTTATTGCTCTATCCGTTCTGTGTATTACAAATCATGTTTCATTCTGTTTTTACAATCTGGGTGGTGTAAAAAATCAAGACCAGTTGAATTGAAAACAACTTCCGTTTACTTCCCAAGTTTATGTTCATTCTTTTCTCCCTGGGGCCTATCTGGGCTGGGCTCTGAGCAAAGATTCCCCCTCGGACAAGGCTCAGGAATGAGAATAGTGTTGCTATAATGAGTAGTCTTTGAGTATCTCTACTGGTGCATGAGACCTTATCACCTTTCAGCCACTGCCTTCCTGTGATCCTTGCTTTGGGCAGGACCTCCCTAGACTTAATGACAATAACTTCCCACAATCACTTCATGCTTTCTGTGGGTAGGGCATTGTGCAAAGCCTCTGACATATTGCACCTCATGAATGACTCACAACAATTGGGCAGTCCATTTTACAAATGAAGGAGGCCATGGTCCTGATGCTCTGTCAGAGAGCTAGTGAGTGACATGACCAGGGCTGGAGTTCAGAGCCCCAGCACTTTCCCACACAGGCCTCCTACCACATAAGTGTAAGCCAGACTCATTAGCTGGGTGGACAGGGCATATCCCTGGAGTAAGTTTTTCTTCACCTGAATTAGGTCTGAGGCCCCCAGCACCTTCATGCCTTGCCCCCTTTATAGGTAAACAGTAATGAAATCACCCTGCTTAAAATTACCTCCTCTATCTTCTTCCCAGTTTTATATTTCTCCTTAACTCTTATCACTATCATGCAATAAATTTTCTAATTTAAAAAAACCATATTTTGGGAGTTCCCTGGTGGTCTAGTGGTTATGATTCAGCACTTTCACTGCTGTGACCCAGGTTCAATCCCTGGTTGGGGAACTGAGATCCTGTAAGCCGCCCGGCACAGCCAAAAAAAAAAAAAAAATCGTATTTTTTGTTTCTCCCTGCTGATTAGAATGTCATCCCCATGAGAGCAGGGATTTTTGTCTGTTTAGTTTATTGTTGTATCCCCAGTGCCTACAGCAGTGTCTGGACTCAGTAGGTGCTCAGTAAGGTTTCTAGAGTGAAAAAGTGAATGTTAACACCCTTCTAATGGCTTTCTATCATACTCAGAATAAAAGCCATACCCCTCTGTAGCCCACAAGGCCTTGCCCTCATCTCCCCCTACCATCCTCCTCACTCACCCTGCCAGCCACAGGGGCCTCTCTGCTGGTGCTTGAGAAAGCCATGCTTATTGCTGCCTCAGTGCTTTTGCACCAGCTCTTCCCTCTGTCAACTCCCATATACACATGGCTTTTCCTCACCTCCTCCAGTCACTGGTCAAATGTCACCAGGGAGGCCATCCCTGATTCCCTTCCCTATCCTGTCACCCGGCTCTTTCTTACTTGACTGCTCCCCCCACCCCAGCATCTTCCTTAGCCTCCTCATTCCCTCACCCCACCCCAGAACATACCACTTACTCCCTAGTATCCATTTGTGTTGATATCCAAGTGTGTTGATTAAGAATATGACCAGAGGGACTTCCCTGGTGGTCCAGTGGTTGAGAATCCGCCTTCCAGTGCAGGGGATGTGGGTTCGATCCCTGGTCGGGAACTAAGATCCCACATGCCACGGGGCAACTAAGCCCGCGTGCTGTAACTAAGACCCAACGCAGCCAAAAAATAAATAAATAAATAAATTTTAAAAATATATTTTTAAAAAAGAATATGATCAGATGTCCCAAGTTATTGCTAGCTGTGTGACCTTGGAGAAGTCACTACACCTCCCTGTGCCTCAGTTTCCCCAACTGTAAATGGGACCAATAGGATCTGCCTCACAAGATTTTTGTGAGGATTAAAAGAAAGAATCTACATGAAGTACACAGCAGTGGCCTGATACATAACCAGCATTCAGTAACCGTTAGTTATATCTAAGTCCTCTTTACATGTGAACAAAAGGGCCGACATGTATCCATCACCTTCTCAGCCATTTTCATGTATTTTCTCGCTCTAATCCCATAAAGTGGGTACTAGTCTTTTCTCTGTTTTATAGTTGAAGAAACTGAAGCTCAGAGAGATTAAGAGAACAGGCACAGTGAATGAGCAGAACAGCCACCTGCAGGTGACGGGACCTTCACTTCCCTTCCTGCAGCCACTGAGATACTCCCCTTTCTTCTGGAAGCTTGAGTTGTCTTGAATTCAAAGGGCTCAGTGCCCCCTTTCATTTAATAGGCTTTTTTTTAAGTGTCCACTGTGTGCTGGGCACTGAAGCGGGCACTGGGAACCCAGCAATGTACAAAAGAGAAAACATTTCTGCCTTGGTGGGGCTAACAGTTGAGTGGGAAAAACAAGTAATAAAGTAAGCAGGTACAGCAATGACTTTGTCAGGTGGTGATTAAGCGTTAGGCACACTAACGCAGGGTAAGGAGATGGAGTGTGATGGTGAGTGGGGGGCATCCTTTTATAGATAGGGGTTCAGGAACAGCCTCACTGAGGAAGTGACAACTGTGCACAGACTTGAAAGAGATGAGGTAGGAAAACATTTAGGGGAAGAACATTCCAGGCTGAAAGAACATGGGAATTCCCTGGCAGTCCAGTAGCTAGGACTTGGTGATTTCATTGCCGAGGGGCTCGGGTTCAGTCTTGGGTCAGGGAGCTAAGATCCTGCAAGCCAAGCTGCAAGGCCAAAAAAAAAAAAAAAAAAATACAGCCTATGCAAAGGCCCTGAGGCAAGCATGTGCCTGTTGTATTTGTGCAGCAGCGAGGAGGTCAGTGTGGCTAGAGTGGAATGAGTGAGGGGGTGAGTGGGACGTTGACAGGCAGGTTGTACAGGGCACAGTGGGTCACTGTGTGGTGCCACGCCCCTCTCTGAGGCCCTAGCCTGGGACTCACTCTGGCCAATTCACCCAGCAAGAGACATTCAGCGTGAAGGGATGAATTAAGGAATGACTGATTTCTCAAGGAAGACCCATGTGTTTATTCCCCTGCAGCAGAAGTTAGGGTGGGGAACCTAGGGCTGGGGTTTGAAGCTCAGCTCCACCTCTCCCTGGCTATGGGAACCTCTCTGTGTCTCAGTCTCCTCATCTGTAAAATGGGAGAAGGGCAGTCCCCACCTCAAGGGGTGCGATGGAGACTGAATTAACTGAATGAGTACCCAGTCATGTGGCAGCCATCACTATCTACAGAACAATCATTTTCCACCATTATTGCTGCAATTTGATTTCTCTGTGAGGCAGGCAGTGTGACCCAGGCAATGGACACAGGCGAACATGGATCAAATCCCGGTTCTACCAAAGCCATGTGACCTTGAACCACTCTCCTCCCCAGCCTCAGTTTCCCCATCTGTGAAATGGGGATGGTAACTCTAGGCTGTGTGGTCGAAATGAGCTGAAATTGTGGTCAAAATCGCTGGGATTCCTGCAAAAATGCAATTTTTATAAAAGTCCCCAGCCCTCGGGGTCTACCTAGACACCTAACAAAATGTCAAGTTACCTCTTGGTGGATGACATCTGCAGACACGTTGTGCCCGTCGCAGGCCACGGTCCCGATGGATTTATAGCAGCCCCTGGGGTAGGTGTGGCCAGTCATCCTTTCGAAGGATGGAAAATCTGTGTAGTCCTTCATGCCACAGCACTTTAGCTGCAGAGAAGAGAATAAACACTTGAAGACTCCCTTTCAAATTTCAAAATAATAAAAACACCAAAAATCATGGTCACCATGGCTACTGTTTAGAGTAGTCACAATATTCCAATGCCTGTGCTAAATGCCTCCCTCTCCCCACCCCATCATGGCTTAGCACCCTCCATGGCTGTCATCTTACTTGGGAGTAAAAGCTGAACTCCTCACCATGGCCCACAAGGCCCTGCATGATCTGCCCTGTCACCTTCAGGTCCTCATCTCCCTGCTCTCTCTTGAACTCACTCAGCTCCACACTGATCTCCTCTCTGTTTCTTAAACACACTTAGTAAGCATCAGCCTTGCTGCCTTTAGATGGCTGTTCCCTCTTTTTGGAATGCTGTTCTATCAGATGTCTGCACGGCTCCCTCTCTCACTTCATTCAGGTCTCTGTTCAAGTGTTCTTCCTCAGGAAGGCCTGCCCTGACCCCTGTTTCTAAGTTAGCCACCAGCCCTGTATCAGTCAGGCCAGGCTAAGTGATGCTGCGTAACAAACAGCCCTTCAATTTCAGCAGTTTGTCTCACACTACATGCTCATACCAACCTGGCAGGGGAACTCCATTTATCAAAGTCTCTCAGAGACTCAGGCTTGTGAAGCAGCCACCATCCAGATGATTCCACTATTGTGGAAAAAAGAAAGAAAGGTCCAGAGGGCCCTACACTGGTAATTAAATAATTTGGCCAGAAAGTGACTCACATCACTTCTCCTCCCAGCTCATTGGCCAGAACTCATCACATGATCCCCAACTAACTACAAAAAGGCTAGGACAGGCCATCCCACTGTGTGCTGAAAATAGGTGACTAATAGCACCTACAAGTAAACAAAATCCTGACTCTCTCTGCCCTTTCCCTGCCTTGCTTTCTTTTTCATGGCACTTACCATCCCTACCACCAATGTTTACTTAGAGGTTTTTTCTCCATCTCCCTACTCGAGCGTCAGCAACACAGGGCAAGGGTTTTGTTTTGTGCCCTGCTTTGTCCCCAGACCCCTGAACAGTGCCCAGCACATAGTAGGTGTTCAATAAAGACTCGTGGAAGGACAGCAACCTAAAGGTCCATCAACAGAGGAATGGATAAAGAAGCTGTGGTATAGGGACTTCCCTGGTGGCGCAGTGGTTAGGACTCCACACTCCCAATGCAGGGGGTCTGGTTTTGATCCCTGGTCAGGGAACTAGATCCCACATGCATGCCGCAACTAAGAGTTCGCATGCCACAACTAAGGAGCCCACGTGCCGCAACTAAGGAGCCGGCAAGCCGCAACGAAGGAGCCTGCCTGCTGCAACTAAGACCCAGCGCAACCAAATAAATATTTAAAAAATATTTTAAGAAACTATACTTAAATTAAAAAAAAAGATTAGTGGAAGGACTATATGAATGAATGAGAAGTACTTTCTACCACCTCAAGCTTCAGAAGCCAAAACGGAGATGCAAGCAAGTCCCCTACCCATCGTGTGCCCCCTCCCAAGCCTGAACTTGACCCCATAGCAGTTCTTGGGCCCCAGACTGAGATGGAAAACACTCCTAGAAACAGGCAATGGCTTTTCCATTCCACACCCTCCCTCGCCTCAAAGATCCTTCTCAACCATCTGCCTCAAGAGCTTAGATGACACATGGAGGCCAGTCTTGCTCCTTAAACACCAAGACTCAAGATATAAGTCTCACCACCTCACACCTGTGAGAATGGCTACTATCAAAAAACAAAAACAGAAAATAAGTGGTGATAAGGTTGTGGAGAAACTGGAACCCTTGTGCCTTTATTGCTGATGGGAATGTAAAACGGTGCAGCTACTGGGGAAAACAGTATGAAAATTCCCCCCAAAATTAAACATAGAATTATCAGATGATCCAGCAGTTCCATTTCTGGGTATATACCGAAAAGAACTGAAAACAGGGACTCGAAGAGATATCTGTACACCCACGTTCACAGCAGCATGGTTCACAATAGCCAAAAGGTGGAAGCAACCCAAGTATCCATTGACAGAGGAAGGGATAAATAAAATGTGGTCCATCCATACAATGGAATATTATTTGGCCCTAAAAAGGAAGGAAATTCGTGCTACAACATGAATGAACCTTGAGGATGCTAAGTGAAATAAGCCAGACACAAAAAGACAAATACTGTATGATTCCACTTATATGAGGTCCCTAGAGGAGTCAAATTCCTAGAGAATGGTAGAATGTAGGATGGTGGGTCCGGGGGTTGGGGGAAGGAGCCTTAGTGTTTAATGGGGACAGAGCTTCAGTTCTGGGGATGCAGGGTGGTGATGGTTGCACAACCATAGGAAAGTGCTTAATGCCACTGAACTGGACACTTAAAAATGGTAAGATGATAAACTTATGTTATATATCTTTTACTACAATAAAAATAAATTAAACAAACAAAACAAAAGGATGTGAATCTCATCTTCTCCATGACCAAATTCCATTCCAGGGAATAGTCATCCGGCTGTTGTAACCTCTGTAATTCTCAGGGTCACAAAGTTGTGCTCCAAGGCCATTTCTCTAACCTCAGAGATGAAACAGGGAGCGGTGAGCACAGAAAACAGCAAGGTGCCCCATTTGGTGAGGTTTCTTGGGGACTCAGGAGGGAGGTGGGGGCTTCCCTTCTGCTTCCTTCATGGCCCCTCCCCCAGCCATGGGTCTGCGCTGGAGGAGGACGAACTCTGGCTACCATCGCCCCCGAGAGCGGGACACAGGGAAGAGCGTGGGTCTCGAGCCCAGCACATCTGGTTGTATCCAAAACTCACAAACGGCTTTGAATCATCTGCTCTTTTGAATCGCCCACACGCCTGCTACGCCCCCGTCATGGCTGCAACTCGATGAGGGACTTGAACATCGTCTTCAGCAACTGAATTTCTCTCTGCACAAAAGGGGCAACTTTAATCTTCTATTTTTTAAATAGAGGTCTAAATTAAAACCATTTTCCCCCCAAAGAGGTGAAATAGTCACACGGCTCAAAATTCACAAATCACAGGAGGGTAAACCATGAAAATCTCCCTCCCACTTTTTTCTCCCAGCCGACAAGTTTCTCCCGCTTCACCACCTCGACTGTCATGGTTTCCAGCGTCTCCAAAGACGTATGCTATGTGTGTCAAAGCAAAGTATATCCTCATTATTGTCCCCCTTGCTTTATTCTATTCTCATTGTTCTGCATCCGGCTGTTCGCAACACGAGTAACAGTGGCTCTCGGTGCCCTGCTCAAATCCCGGTGGCTTCTCTTATTTCTGTGCCGCGGAGCCCGGCTTCCCGCTGCCAGCAACCGAGGTTCTATTTTTTTTTTTTTTTTTTACCTTTTTGGCCGCGCCTTGCGGCATTCAAGATCTTCGTTCCCTGAGCACTAATGGAACCCGCGCCCCCTGCAGTCGAAGCTCCGAGTCTTAACCTCTGGACCCCCAAGGAAGCCCCCAGCAACCGAGGTTCTTGCAGTGGCCTCTCCGCACGCATGCGCCCTGGGAGCAGCCCTTAAGCAATGACTGATGGGAGGTGTTGGATTAAAACTGCAGCTCCCTAGTCGCTTGGGTGGAGAAAATAGATGGCGTGCTCCTTGCTGCGTCCCCGACATCCCCCACCAGGACAGCCCAGTTGCACAGTGTCAGCTTTTTTTTTTTTTTTTTTTGCGGTACGCGGACCTCTCACTGCTGTGGCCTCTCCCGTTGCGGAGCACAGGCTCCGGACGCGCAGGCTCAGCGGCCATGGTTCACGGGCCCAGCCGCTCCGCGGCACGTGGGATCTTCCCGGACCGGGGCACGAACCCGTGTCCCCTGCATCGGCAGGCGGACTCTCAACCACTGCGCCACCAGGGAAGCCCCACAGTGTCAGCTTTTAGGGGCTACATTCCCTTCCCTGCCTCACTGCCCCTGTCCCCAACAGGTGTTTCTTGGGATCACCTCTCAAATAAACCATGAGCCTTCAAATTCTTTTCTCAGGGTGAGCCTCTGGGGGGACGCAAACGGGGACAGCACTATGTCCTGGAGAATGTACCATCTCCTGCACATAGAGGCTCCTCCTTCCTTCTTTCCAGCTGCATCAGACTCCCTTGTGTGGATTATTATACATTATAAACTCCCCCCGCCCCAAGCATATCCTTGGATAATTCCTAGGGACCAGATGGTTGGGTCAAAGTGTCCATGCTTTTTCATTTTGATGGATATTGCTAAATAGCCCTCTATTTTGAACTCATTTCAAAACCCCAAGAAACTTCACAGCTTTTCCCATTCCTCCCCCAGCAATTACTTCCCATTACTCCCCCAAATGAGAGGTGGTCCAATTCACTCCGCAGTTTCTTGAGGGGAGCCTTTGAAGGCAGGGCTGAGGTTTCCGGCTTTTCGCCCTATCTCTGGAGACTCGGTCTCCCACCATCACCGGATCCTGGCGAGCGTGGGAGCCTCCCGGGGGGAGGGGCGGGGCTTCTATTGATTCTGTTTATTTCTAATGCAGAGTGAGAGAAGCCGAGCTGTACTTACAATCGGGAAGAGGGCAAGGACCACTGTGGCGACAGTGATTTCCACGATGAGAATGATGACCATGACCGAGAAACACTGGAGGACACAGGGTGGGGAGTCGGGGGCGTGGGAGCCTGCTGGGAGTCCTTCCACCCCATCCCCAGGCCACCGTGGCCTCTCCATTTTGAAAGAACACACGCCGGGGGGAGGGGGGTGGGGGGTGTTATTTTATTTCTTCCAGGTGTTGCATTCCTGAATGTTGTCCAGGATGCTGGCAGTGGGATATTCTTAGGAGCTATCAGTCATAGCTGGAGGGACTTCCCCGGTGGCGCAGTGGTTAAGAATCCGCCTGCTAATTCAGGGAACATGGGTTCGAGCCCTGGTCCGGGAGGATCCCACGTGCCACGGAGTAACTAAGCCCGTGCACCACAACTACTGAGCCTGCGTGCCCCAAGGACTGAAGCCCACGTGCTTAGAGCCCGTGCTCTGCAACAAGAGAAGCCACCGCAGTGAGAAGCCCGCGCACCGCAACGAAGAGTAGCCCTCGCTCGCCGCAACTAGACAAAGCCCGCACAGCAACGAAGACCCAACGCAGCCAAAAAACGAATAAATAAATTCATTAAAAAAAAAAATAGCTGGAACCCCATTTCACGGCCACCACTTTCTGAGAGTCTGGGAGGCTTAAGAGGCGACTTCCAGCGGTGTGTGCAGACAGCAGCGGCCGATGGAAGGGCAGGAGGGACAGTGCGGGGCACCAAACAGAGGCAGGAGGGAATTCCCTGGTGGTCCAGTGGTTAGAACTCAGTGCTTTCACTGCCGAGGGCCCGGTTCGATCCCTGGTCGGGGCACTAAGATCCCTAAAGCCGCGCTGCAAGGTCAAGAAAAACAAAACAAAGCAAAACGAAAAACAGAGGAAGGGCCAAGAAACCTCAGAAATACAAATTGCGGGGAGGGGTGACCAGACTGAAGGGGAGATACCGGATGACAGGACGGTGGGTGCCAGGGGAGAATGCCTCATGTTTCCGATGAAAGTCACATGCCTGGTGGCAAACAGTGGGAAATGCTGTAAGCGGGGGTGGGGGGACTTCAAGTTATCCACCGAGGAAAAGCTGCTTCCCTCCTGAGCCTCAGTTTCCCCATCTGCACAACGGAGGGGTGGGACCAGCTCAGGGGGATCTCAGTGGGTTCTGTGGAGCTTCTAGAGACCAGATTGGGGGGGGTGTCAAAGGAAGGTCAGCTCCTGTCTCCCCTTTCATCTATGTCTATCTATACCTATTATTATTATCATTATCATTAAAATCTCTTTGATAATTGAGGCTTTGAGTTGCCAGACCAGCCGATGGCTGGGCTTATCTGGCCTTGACACAGAGAGGCAGGAAAGCACAGTGGATACACGTCAGGGGTCCCCACAGTCGACGGGGAGAAACATGAAGGCAGTTGTGAGACGGCAGACATGTGGCTCCTGTAACAGATTCTGAGAATTCCTATTCATATTAGTATTTCCTGGGAATTCCCTGGCAGTCCAGTGTTTAGGAATCTGTGCTTCCACTGCTGGGGGCCTGGGTTCGATCCCTGTTCGGGGAACTAAGATCTTGCACGCTGCCCCTGCGTGACCAAAAATAAAAAATAATTTAAAAATAATATTTCCCGGGACTTCCCTGGTGGTTCAGTGGTTAAGACTCTGCACTCCCAATGCAGGGGGCCTGGGTTCATCCCTGGTCAGGGAACTAGATCCCACATGCATGCCACAACTTAGAGTTTGTATGCCACAACTAAGGAGCCTGCCTGCCACAACTAAAGAGCCCACCAAAAAAAAAAAAAAAAAAGGAGAGAGCCCACCAGCCGCAACTAAGACCTGGCGCAACCAAGTAAATAATTTTCTTTTTTTTTAGCGGTATGCGGGCCTCTCACACTTGTGGCCTCTCCTGTTGCGGAGCACAGGCTCCGGATGGGCAGCCTCAGTGGCCATGGCTCACGGGCCCAGCCGCTCCGCGGCATGTGGGATCTTTCCGGACAGGGGCACGAACCCGTGTCCCCTGCATCAGCAGGTGGACTCTCAACCACTGCGCCACCAGGGAAGCTCAATAAATATTTTTTAAAAAGAAAAATAATATTTCCCAACCTCTGGGTGAGTGAAGCGTCCAGAGGACAGATATCCAGGCGTTGGCAAGTCCTATTGGCTCCATCTTCAGAGTCTATCCAGAATCTGCCCACTTCTCACCCCCTCCTGGCCCCACCGAGTCCAGCCCCCACCATCTCCCATCTGGACCAATACAGTCCCTCCACCCTGGTCCCCCCTACACTCTGTTCCCTCCATAGCCGCCAGAGGGCGCCTGTGAGCACCTGAGTCAGGGCATGATTCTGCTCTGAACCCTTCGTGGCTCCCAACGCCATCAGCTTTGGATGGACCAGACGCTGAGGGTAAAGTCGATCGGATTTGCCAGTGGGTTGGACGTGGGGTGTGAGAGAGAGTACTCTTTGATTCCTCCGAGTTAAAACATGGATAAAATAGTGTCCACATTCTACTGAAGAGAAAACGAAATCTTGCAGACACAGCATCTATTCAATAAATCTTTGCTGAAGTAATTAAGAAAGAAAACGAGTACTTCCCTGGTGGCTCAGTGGTTAAGCATCCGCCTGCCAATACAGGGAACAAGGGTTCGATCCCCAGTCCGGGAAGATTCCCACATGTTGCAGAGCAACTAAGTCCGTTCACCACAACTACTGAGCCTGAGTTCTAGAGCCTGCGAGCCACAACTACTGAAGCCCACAAGCCTAGAGCCCGTGCTCCGCAACAAGAGAAGCCAACACAATAAGAAGCCCAAGCACTGCAATGAAGAGTAGCCCCCACTCGCTGCAACTAGAGAAAGCCCACGCGCAGCAACGAAGACCCAAAGCCGCCAAAAATAAATAAATTAATAAATTTATAAAAAGAAAGAAAGAAAATGAGAGATGATGGAGATTCAGGGAGGAGGAAAGTGAGGGTGGGTGCTTTAACAGTCGGGGCTGTTTATGCTCTGTGAGATGGCTAGAGCAAGGATCTCCCTGAAACCCCCAAACTGAAATTCCTGTAGTTTTGCAGCAACACAGTGGAGGAAGGAAAACAAAAGATGCTGGATACAGATTCAACTTTGGGTGGGATGATGAGCTCAGACAAGATTTTAAGGGAAGTGGGAATGGGGGCTCTCGGAGCTGGACTCTGGGGAGACATTTGGCCAAGGCTATATGTGAGAATGAGTAAGACATGCAAAATCTGTGACATGCTATTTGCATGATCATGCTGGAAATATTCATACCCCATGTATCTGAACATGTACTTGTGCTGCATGGCAATTACAATAGTGTTGTGTTAGTGGGGGATATACACATGGGCCAATGGAACAAAGCAGTGTACACAGAACAGACTTTAGCATAATGGAAACTAGCATAGACAGAGGAGGACTGGATGTACCAGTTGGTAAGTGCAACAGTATGTCACCAAATGGAAAAAAAAAAAAATCAAATCAGACCCCTACCTCACACCACACACATGAAAAAACACGACAAAAGGCTAACGAGCTAAGAGCGAGCTCACAATGTCTTTTTTTTTTAAAGTATAATTTCCACTTTATTGTCTTTCCAGGGAACAGTATTTCTTTAGCCTTTAAGGACTTAGCTCCTTACGTGGGCTTTGGTGGAAGTCGTGGGGCAGCACCAGCAGGTCTAAATAGGGCTGGAGGTGTTCGGTCCTTCCGGGCTTCCCGAGAACGATTCCTGACTCCCTTGCTGTGAATGGCACAACTCACGCAGTAATGCAGTTTCACATACAGCTTGGGAAGCACATAGGCGTCAAAAACACTCGCTTCAGGAATGTCCCTGATGGCTGCGGCCTCTACGATGTTCCGAATGACAAACTTCTTAATGGCCTTATCCTTGGGCACGCATCGGGCACAGTTGGTGCAGTGAAGAGGCCGCGCGTGGCCGCGGCCCTTTTTGGCACGACCATTATTCCTTCTTTTCTTGGTCATCTTAGTCGTGGCAGGAGGACATTTTGCAATTCATATTTAAAACCTTAAAGGTTTTATGGTAAAATCTTTTACCTAGAAATTCCATTTCTAGACATTAAACCTAGGGAAAATAGTCACATGTGTGCCTCAAAACCAGGATGCACAGGGATGTTCATTAAGGACAAAATGTTGGAAGTAACTGAAGTAACCAATAACACAGATTGGGTAGGTAAATCATGGTACAGCCATGCAATGGAATCCTAGAGAGTTTTTTTTATTTTATAAATTTATTTATTTTTTAGTTCTGTTGGGTCTTCGTTGCTGCACGTGGACTTTCTCTAGTTGCGGCGAGCAGGAGCTACTCTTCGTTGCAGTGAGTGGGCTTCTCATTGCTATGGCTTCTCTTGTTGCGAAGCACGGGCTCTAGGTGCATGGACTTCAGTAGCTGTGGCACGCGGGCTCAGTAGTTGTGGCTCGTGGGCTCTAGAGAGCAGGCCCAGTAGTTGTGGCACACGGGCTTTGTTGCTCCGCAGCACATGGGATCTCCCCGGACCAGGGATCAAACCAGTGTCCCCTATATTGGCAGGCAGATTCTTAACCACTGCGCCACCAGGTAAGTTCCTAAACGGTTATGTTAAATGATGCTTGTAAGACAGGGGGTGGCAAATTTTTTTGCAAAAGCACCCGATACTGTGAGCTTCGCAGGCCATACAGTCTCGGTTGAAATGAAACAGCCGGTGTAGTGGAAAAGCAGCTGTACAAAATCTATAAACAAATTTGTTTTATTTACAAATAAATTTTATCTATCTATCTATTTACAAGACTGTACTTTGCTGACTTCTGTGGTAGGAGAATGTTTATTGATACAGAAAAATGTTTTTAAGGCCTAATTTTTTTTTAAAAAAAGTAGATTGTCAACAGTCACCATCGTTGGGTATTAATCTAACGGAGTTGAAAACTCATGTTCACATAAAAACCTGCACATGGATGTTTCTAGCAATTTTCTCCATAATTGCCAAAACTTGGAAGCCACCAAGATGGGCTTCAGCATATGAATGGATAAATAAACTGTGGCACATCCAGACGATGGAATACTGGCACTAAAAAGAAATGAGCTATCAAGCCAGGAAAAAAACATAGAGGAAACTTACAGGCATATTGCTGAGTGGAAGAAGCCAATATGAAAAGGCTACATGGTGTATGATTCCAAGTATATGACATTCTGGAAAAGGCAAAACGATGGAGACAGAAGAAGGATCAGTGGTTGCCAGGGCTTAGCGGGGAAAGAGGGCTGATGGGTGGAGCACGGAGGATTTTTAGGGCAGTGAAACTACTCATGCGATGCTGACATGGTGGATACGCTAGTCAAAACCATGGAATGTACAACACCAGGAATTTCCTGGCCGTCCAGTGGTTAGGACTCCACTCTTCCATTGCGGGGGACACGAGTCCAATCCCTGGTCAGGGAACTAAGATCCCGCATGCCGCTCGCCCCAGCCAAAAAAATGAATAAATAAGTACAAAAAGAGTGAACCTTCATATAAACTATAGACTTTAGGTTCTAATGATATCAGTGTAAGTTCATTATAACAAATGTACCACTCTGATGGGGAATGTTGACAGTAGGGGAGGCTGTGTGCAGGGGCAGGGCTTATATGGGACATCTCTGTACCTTCTGCTCAATTTTGCTGTGAACCTAAAACTGCTCTTAAAAAAGTCTATTTAAAAGGATGAAACACTTACAATTTTTTAAAAGAGAAAAAAATGAGGATTGTAAAGCATTAGCATCCCATGTTTGTTTTGCTGTTTTTCAAAGTTACATAGAAAAGTCTGGAAGGATATAATGATGATATTTATTGAGCCATGTTCTGATGACAAGTATCAGCCCTTTAAATGCATTATCTTGTTTAATTCCCATCAAAATGTTACAGCCACAGGTAAAGAGTGATAGTTAATTTCCTTCTCTTTCCTGGCGGCCTTTCCTCCTACTGTTTTACTATTAAAAGCAATTACTTCTTTAGCAGTGCATATCTTGGGTTACTTTTATAGTAAGAAAAAAATGGTTTGAAAACTGTAAAGGACCAAGAGAAGAACCATTCCCTCCTGCCTTCCTTAACAGCTTAGCTTTCTGCAGGATTTTCTTTAGAGCCAAGTTCTCCCGCCATGGACCCCAGGTCCCCCAGATCACACTCTGCTGCTTGATTTCAGCAGCTCTGGGTCGATGGAGGCTACGCCTGTTCCCAGTGCGTCCTTCTCCTTGTCAGTCTGCCCTACATCCCTCCTGCTTCCCTGGGGACCACAGATCCGGATGCCAGTGAATTTGGATCAACTTATTTCTGTCTTTGAACGAGCCAGTTGTGGAGGAAGGGTTGCAAATCCCCAGGGCCCAGGTTGTGACATACTTACAGCCATAACACCGTTGAAGAAAGATAATGGTTTCTTCAAGGAATAATACGGAGTGTGCCTTTTCAGCCATGTTGGCCAGACTGGGGAGCCCATTTAAGTCAGCACCTTCCCAAACCTCTGGGATACTGCTTCCCAAGATGGTAGAGGTCTGGGGTCGGGGGCACCAAAGCTGCCTTGCTCTACCCCTCTCTCTCCTGGCTGCATGGTCCTCTGCCGGGGAGGGGTCCCAGCGGCTGCCCCTCTTCTGTCACAGCCTTTATCATATCACAATCAGTTGCTGGAGCAAGGTTCCCAGTGCCAGGGAAGCAGGTGCCCCAAACTGCGCCCTGCTGGATCCTCATCCTCCATCCTCCAAAGAAGCCACACCAGGGGTGGAGAAGAGGCACAGTGTGCCACCCTGGTACCCCTCCAGATGCCACCCGGGCCCTGTGGGCACAGTGCTCAGCACTGGCTACTAGTGTGGTTGATGCAACCGTTAGATTGGAGGCTCCGAGTGGACAGGAGCCTGGACTGTCCTACTCACGGCTTTGTTCCCAAAGCCTTGTACACAGTGGTGCTCAAGAAACCGCTGTGGAGTGAATGAAAGGTTCCATGAAGCAGGGATCTGGCTACAAGCCATCATGTTCCCCAAGTGCCTGCCTACACGTTACCTCGCTTGGCTCATCCTTCTCACAGGGCTCAGAGAGGCCAAAGTAACTGCCCAACGCCACACAGGAAGCAGGGCCAAGGCTGGCCTTTAGAGCTCCAGGAGTGACACAGAGGTAGGAACCTCCAACCCCTTCCCACCTGAAAGCCTGTACTTTCTGCATCTGAGGCTTGCTTGGCCACAGCTGATGAAGATATAGTCCTTAAGCTCATGTGTCATTGATCACTGGGCCTTTCTTGATGATAACAGAGGCACAGAGGGCATTTCAGGGCAAAAAAATATGCATGTGGGCACTGAGGGTCCCCAGGCCCAACTTCTGCAGCCACTAGCCTTCATTGTCTCCCTGCCCCCACCCGCCCAGGTCCAACTCTGGGCTCCTCTGTCCAGCCCCAGGCTGGAGCATGTCTGTGGCCAGGTCCTGAAGGGCTCAGGGTTTTCACGGTCTTCTGTGATCCCCAGGGAACAACTCAAAGAAAAAAAATTACTTTCCACTTGAATTAATTTAATGAATGTTTGTAAAACTGCCTGCTTCTTGGAACGTGTAGAACTAAGCAAGATGTTCATGGAGGCGTGGCTGTCTCATTTGAACGTGACCACAGGTCACGTTCACAGCTAGGAGTGTGTCCTTCCACATCTTTCTCTAAAAGGTCACTTGAAATAAGGAGCCTCAGAGATAGAGGCTGAGGGCCCGAAAATGGGGGCGCAAAGGATTCGAGAAAACCGGGAGCAAAGCAGGACAGGAGGGGTGGCATAAAGGAGGGCGGGAAAATGAAGGACGGATAAGGGCGGGGAGAGTGGGAGGCAGAGAGTGACGTGGACGTAGGGGCGCGGTGGAGCGCCTGCCATCAAAAGTGAACAGCCATTGCGGAACTGCGAAAAGAAAGACCCAATGACGGAGGCGTCAGGAGCCCCTCCGAAGCCCCACCTCCGCGGCAGCCCCGCCCCCGAGGCAGCCCCGCCCCGTGGCAGCCCCGCCCCGCGGCCGCCTCGTCTCGGCTTCGAGGCAAGGCAGAGGCCCAGGTCCCGGCCTCTCGCGCCCCCTGGCGGCCATCAGCGGAAGCACGTGCACCCAGACCCTGGCGTCTCCCAGTCAGACACACCCAAATGTGTCTCCGTTCCTCGGAGCCGCCGGTCAGTCCTCGCGTGTGGGGAAATGGAAGGGCAAGAACCACCCCCAGCCCCCCCAGTACGCACCCATTGAATTGATGCGGAGAGACAGAATAGTGCAGGCATCTGGCGTATGGCAAATTCAAGACATTTGGCCAAAAAAAAAAAGCATGCAGAAAACCAGTGCAATTTATCAGTAACTGTTCAAAGGTTCTAGAAAACAGTGAAAAATACCTCTCGAAGGGGCTCCACAGAGTGATTAGGAGGACATTGAAATACCATTGTAGGGCTTCCCTGGTGGTGCAGTGGTTAAGAATCCGCCTGCCAATGCAGGGGACATGGGTTTGAGCCCTGGTCTGGGAGGATCCCACATGCCGCGGAGCAACTAAGCCCGTGTGCCACAACTACTGAGCCCACGTGCTACAACTGCTGAAGCCCGTGCTTCCCAACAAAAGAGGCCACCACAGTGAGAAGCCCGCGCACCGCAACGAAGAGTAGCCCCCGCTCGCCGCAACTAGAGAGAAAGCCCGCGCGCAGCAACGAAGACCCAATACAGCCAAAAAATAATAAAATATTTTTTTTAAAAAAAGGAATACCATTGTAGCATAAAAGTGTCACTCCAGTATTTCCTTAATTACAGGGCTTAAGGTGTGTCGAGAGTCCTAATGTATTTCTCCACATGCTTGGTCTCCTTCCGTGTGTTTTAGGAGAAGTTTTATTTATTTATTTATTTATTATTTTTGGCTGTGTTGGGTCTTCGTTTCATGCGAGGGCTTTCTCTAGTTGTGGCAAGCGGGGGCCACTCTTCATCGCGGTGCGCGGGCCTCTCACTATTGCGGCCTCTCTTGTTGCGGGGCACAAGCTCCAGACGCGCAGGCTCAGTAGTTGTGGCTCACGGGCCTAGTTGCTCTGCGGCATGTGGGATCTTCCCAGACCCGGGCTCGAACCCGTGTCGCCTGCATTGGCAGGCAGATTCTCAACCACTGCGCCACCAGGGAAGCCCCAGGAGAAGTTTTTAAAAAGCACGATCTCCAAGAAAACGGAGTATCAAATAAAAAAAAATAAAAAATAAATTTAAAAATCTAAAAAAATAAAAGGAAAACAGAGTCTTAAACACACACACAATATTTATATCAATAGCCCATATTGGTCTATGAACTGTCCCTAAAATGTTGTATTTGTCATCAATAGCAACAACAAGGGACTCAGGAGATAGTTTCAGCAGGTCTATTGTTCATGTAAAATTTGTAGCACTGATATATTTGTATGTGTAGGCCCCACAAAACCTGGATCCACCCCTGACAAAAAGGCATTTTATGGTTTAAGTTATTTTAGTAACAATCATTGAGGGAGGAGGTGACAAATCAGAATCCACCATCCAACAGAAAAGTCTGGAGCACAGGAAGGAAAGGTGCCTGTTCATGCTGAGGCTGGTCGACTTCCTTGACATCATTCCCTTGCTCTGGGCCTCCCAGTCAGTCCATGGACTTCATCCCTCAACAGGGATGGGTGTATGGGTGTCACCAGGTTATAGCATCATGAGCTGAAATCTTTGACAAGACAGTAGAGAATCATAGTGACAATCATTGCTGCCAACTGAAAAGGAGGCAGACAGCATTTTCACTGTTAGAGATTTTTTTGTTTGGCTTAGCCATTTTTATAATTCCATTTGTTTCATCTTTTTCACATTCTGGTTTATTTTTTGAGCCTTTGTGCTCACTCTGAGTGCTGAGGCCCTGTGGGTTGGGATGTGACAGGTAGGCCCCTGTCCTACAGGGGAGACTCACTGCTCTCCCAGGTTCTCTTTCTCTCTACTTAAAAATCTGGAATTTCTACTCCTTCAGCCCAGCAAAGTCTTAGCTTCATGAAAGGAGAGGAGTAAATGAAGGAGCACCAAAAGATTCTGGCTGATATTCAAAATACTCAGCCAGAAAGTATCACCCAGGAAGCAATGATCCAGACAGAGCAGAGTGTGTCAGGAATGTTGACCCCATAGGACTGGGAGGACTAGGGGTCCTGGTGAGAGTTCAGGCACAAATGTTCACCAGGCCAGTGGGTGCAGGCAGCACTCAAGGGCCTCCTACTTTTAGTGTATGGGTCTTGAGTTATAATTTCCTTTCTTAACCTGGTGGCTGGTCCCAGCACGGTGGCCAAGACTGTTGTTCCCATTCTACTGAAAAGTTCATAAATAGCTTTCAGAGATTTTGTGTAATGTCTCAAGGGGAGACTGTAACAACTGCAAATGGGACTTTTTAAAGTATACGGGTTGATGGGGGAGATTTCCCCCTCTAGGAATTTCTACTACAGATGTATTCAAACACATAGAAACCAGGAGTTAACAAAGCTTTTCTGGAAAGGGCCAGAGAATAAATATTTCTCAGTCATCACTCTGCTGTTGTAGCCTACACAGTATGTAAATGAGCAACATGTAAATATATGTAAACGAATGGGCATGACCACATCGCCAAAATGTTATTTACAAAAACAGGTAGTGGGCTGTAGTTTTGCCAGCACTTGCTCTAAAGCCTAGTTTGAGTTGGCGAATGATTAGAAACAACCTAAATGCCCTTCCCAAGGGGACTGGTTAAATATGGCATGGTCCAACCATAGGAATGTGTTACAGAGTGAATTGTGCCATGCCACCCCCCGCCCCTGGAAATTCATATTGATCTACAATCCAGGGAAAGAGAGACCTCACCAGAAACCAACCCTGGCAGGTTGATTTTTGGATTCCAGCCTCTAGAACTGTGAGAAAATAAATGTCAATTGTTTTAAGCCACCCAGACTGTGCTATTTCAATATGGTAGCCTGAGCTAAGATGAAGGAATATTCTGCAGCTGAGAAAATGAAGGCAGAAGTACCAAAGGTAATTTGGGATCAAAATGAGAAGAGCTCCAAGTGATGGTCTCTTAAGTGAAGAAATAAAGTACAGAGCCGTGTGTATGGACCAAATGAATATTTAAACAAACAGTGATCTAGCCATACAATGTAATATTATTCAGTCGTAAAAAGGAATGAGGCTGTGATACATGCTACAACATGGATAAACCTTAAAAACCTCATGCTGAATGAAAGAAACCAGACCCAAAAGGCCACGTATTATCTGATACTGTTTATATGAAATGTCTAGAATAGGCAAATCCAAAGAGACAAGCAGATTTGTCATTGCTCGGGGCTGGGGGAGGAGGGAATGGGACTGAGCACTTTCTGGGGACAGGGTTTCCTTTTGGGTGATGAAAATGTTTTGGAACTAGATAGGGTTGGGGTTGCCCAGCATGGTGAATGTCCTAAATGGCAGAGAATTGTACACTTTAAAGTGGTTAATTTGATGTTATGTGAA